AGTAATAATAAGAGTTAATAAATTGTAAATATCAAATAATAATAAGCATGAAATATTCAGCTATTTTAAGATTCATCGACGCATTCGCACGAATTGAAGAACAACCATTGTTTGAAAAATGAACAATTAGCAAGAACTTATAATTTGTCCGTAATGACCGAGCAGTAGCCTACTTGAAGCCTACTGTAACAATGAAACAGGAAAGAAACGAAAAATAGTTAGATTCCATTGCAATGTCAGTTTCGCTTAAACTTGGATGACGGGAACAATTCTGGCGTTTTCCTTTTCATGAATTGAACAGTAAGGTGCTGTTTTCCAATCCATGCCATCAGCCAGGAGTGCCTTATTTTTAAAGGATGGTCGACAGCAGCTATGTGACAAGGACAGTGCGTCGTCTCACGTTACCCTGCAACAAAATAGCACTCACTTATCCACCTAGGAAAAAAGAAAGACGACTGTTCTTTAGAATCCTCAATCTCTCGGTTCTGAGTCCGACGTTCTACAGACTGAGCAACTCCAGTCTGAAACAAAGTCGTGTAAATTACTTGATCCATATAATTCGCGGTTAAGACCAAGATCACTCATTTGTAGGAATCGAACCAGGATTTCACCGTGCCATCACACCTTCAGCATGCAACCAAAAGAGTAACGATTCAAACGATTAAGTCCAAGAATTCATTCTGAAGGCGTTATAAGTCTATATTAGTGTGCAGCGAAATTTACAGTCAAACAGTTTGTTCTCTATTTGCATGGCTTCTGCAGATTCTGAAGAGCGAAACGACTTGCCATGAGTAAACAAACCAGACACTTTTTCAGAGGCTGTAAGTACGCCTATCTCGTGTCACAGCATGATCCTTTACAAATTTTACAGTTTTGATAGGCAAAGGTATCACTTCGGTTAATATTCGCGTCACTCTATATAAATATCTAAAACTGAAGTGTTGGATTAAGTCTGCCGATGCGGTAACATCAAGGCAAGCGAAACGGACGATCTCAGAAGAGACAGAAAATTTTCAAGAAACGTGTAGGTGGTTGAAGAGAGATGGCTAAGACACGGTGGAATACAACCCATTCTGCTAGGTGAAAAAAAATTCGAGAACTCGGAATAACGAAAATTAGATAAAACTTTGAAAAAAAAACATAAACCTTAGGCAATGCAGGCAGAGTCAGCACTTTATTAGTCGACCATTACGGCACTGCAGAACGGGAATGACGCATTAGTGTCTGACGGAGCTGAGATGCAAGAACGGGCGCTAGTTTGTGCACTTGAGTGACATGGGAAAGAGTACTAGTATATTTATGTCTTCGCGATGCTGTACCAGTTTATGTAATTTACATTTGTGTCGTACAGATCATCTTCAATGGTGACACTGCAGCGTATCCCACCTTACGACTTACCTGGCGGTATGGAGCAGAATATGGTCAGCCAATGCAGAATTGTATTCACTGACTCATTCCCTCGTTCAATTTAAAACTCTGCCATTCTGTTTAAACCAATATGGCAGATGCTCCAGGACACCGTATGAAAGGTTCTGTTCTTTTATCAAACGATCAGTGGTCTGTACGGAACTCTGCTGCTTAAGAATCTAATCGATTCTCAAAGAGGCTTCAACACAGAATAAGAACGGAAAAAGCAGACCGCAAGTAATCTGCCATTATGTTATTTGCCTCGTGATCAATGCGATACTATAAATCTATACTGATCTGAAATTTTGCATCCTTTTCTATTATTTGTATATTTTTGATCTGCGGCAAGGCGATTTTGTGCTGAATTCGTTAAATTAAGCCAATAATTTTCCAACATTCAATACTCATGAAAACCTGAACAAAACTATGTAACCATGACAATGAGTTTCAAAAGCTTTCAAGATCTAATTCACCTAATCTGTCAATAATATTCACTAACGATAATCCAGGCATTAGTCAGTTAAGGCAGACGGTAAGTCAGAGTCAGTTACAGCTCGGGCTAACGAGTTTTTCAAATGTCGCTCCTGCCCTGAGCATTCTATTGGAAACCGTGCCAAATCCGATTAAATCCATGAGATGACTGCCTGATTGACGTAACAAGATTGTCTAATCTCGCTCAAAAAAGTACGCCAGAATCAATTTTCTAGAATATAGATGTACGAGTAATGCAGCGCACGAGAATA